TAACGTTATACCCTATAATTCCCATAAAAATCCTTCTTTTTCGTTTATATCACTTGCAGAAGTGCAGGGTCATTTCTTTATTATATAAAATCGACCGATTATTTAATAGATTATAGCTCTCTCACGTGAATTCTGAAAAAAATTAGGTTTTCATTTTGGTTTTCTAAGTGTCTAGTTTCTCATTAAAGCAAGGCGCTTGAAGTGTTTAAATAAAGGGTTTCTTCTAATGATTCATATCAAATTCCTATTTTAATGGAAAACTTGGACGGTGTAATTTATCATTGGTTGATCATCACGTGATAGAATTATTTAATCAAAATCTAAGAGGCGGACAGACACTCGGTGACCTTTTTTTACTCAAAAGTATAGTCCTTCGGACGACAATTAATTGTCTACTATTCTGATTAATTATTCCCTTTTAAAAGGATTAAAGAATATTACTGTATTTAAACTAAAAATTCCATCATGATATCTTATTATATGAAAAATAACACTCTTATTTCCTACTTTGGGAGAATAGTCCACTAGATTCAATCAGCTGGGAGGCCCAAAGAGAGCTAATTGGGAATTTAATTCTTATTTTCATCTATGTGGGAAATAAATAATACTAATTAGTAATATTTGACAGAGAAAAAAGAATTAATTTATGTCTTTTGTTGAAGTTGAGACCGAGTAACTTGATTTGTGCTTTGGGGGAATTAATTGAGAGTACACTATTTGAGGTGATATAAGTCAACAATTTTAAGGGTGTTATTATAACAAATTCGGTCTAAATTATGAGATGATATTGACCCTGTTATTCTTGCATTTTTAACACACTGAGTCAGAGTGACACGCTACGGAAGTTTAAATATAAATACCTGCGCTTTTCGCTTTCTCCAAATTTTTATTTTTACAAAAAAATATTTACAATTATGAACCAATCCACAAATCAAAATATTATTTGTCGATTCCAAAGGCCTAGTCGATCTCATAGCCGGTTCCAAAGAATCCTAAGACGACCTCGAAGGTCTCGACCTCAAAACACTATGAATTCATCTATTTTAAATATTGGAAGACGTATCCGATCTCGACCTCAAAACAATATAAATCCATCCACTAATGATTCCGTTGCCATCCAACGATATACCGTTTTCGTCGAAGGTTTTAATCCATTTATCGAGTTACAAGTTGCAGAAATTCCACTGCAGAACACTCAATTTCAAACTGCACTATTATTGGGTCTTCCATTCTAATAAGCAATAATATACAGACAAATTATATATTATATCGTTTATTATAAAGAAACTTTTTAAAATAAATTTTATTAAAAGAATCTGGTAGTTTTTAAATACGGTTCAAAATTTAAATAAGATTATCCATTGAAAATTTTCATTTCAATTGATTTAACCGCATTAAATCGCAGGTCGCTTAAGATTTATTCTGTGTAAGATTATATGTTTTATTTGACTTTCAATCAAATTTAATAGTTTCTAATATAAAAATTAAATAAAGTCCTTTTTACACTATATATATTGTTATGCAAATAGTAAATCACACAGAGTAATATTTGTCTATTTAGATTTAAAAGCCTTGGTAGCGTTTAATGTTGATAGATGATTTTAGTATATCTATAATAAAACCATAAGTTTTAGTACACCTCCATTTTGAAGATTCTAAAATCGTGACAAGTGTTTTTTCAAAGTGATCAGAAATTCAATTAAATGCAATATGTTTCCGAAAATAAGTTACCCTTTTGGGATTACTAAAGCAAGGTGCGTTCATGTAATTTGATTATTTAATTACAATTAAAATAATGGTTGGTTAGGGATTAGAGTAGAGTTGCTGGCGAACCTAAATCATGCTGGTAGAACTGGCTATCTAAAATCTGATTGGTTATTAAAAGCAATAGCCAATCAGATTTTAGATAGTTGCCAGTTCTACCAGTATGATTTAGTTTTATCAGCAAGTTTTATAAGTAAAATTGTCTGCCCGGTATTGTTTATTAGTGCCCCAAGGTGGGTTTAGAGACTCGTTTTGTCTTTTTTTCCTTGTTTTTGTCTCGTCGGGCTGATCCGGTGTTACTATCGGATTCGGGAGAGCGTCAGTAAGCGGGGCCAGCGATAAAGAGATATTAGACATACAATAGGGGTCAAATGAAGCAAACTTTAATATAGAGAGGGATCGTGAAGGGTAGCAGACCAGAATAGAGTTTATAATAATGTGATGTATATAAATAAGAAAATAAGAGATACAATCACTCAGTGGGTCTTATGCAATAAGATAGAGACGACAATAGGTGAATGAATATGCGAGCAAAACTAATACGATGTATAACAATTCAACAACAGACAGTACGAATAAGAAATACGATGCAAATA